AAGATTCAAAAGTTGCTAAATTAGGGTTTTGTAGGAAAAGTCAACTCAACTTTGACCAAGCATAACTTTCTCATACTTTATGAGAAATGACCCATCCAAATATCATTTTGAAGAGGATTCAATTACCTACAATCCATCTTCACACCCCAAGATCAAGAAATGCTCTCACAAAAAGCTACAAATTTGGACATTATAGGTCATTTTTGAAAGTCAACAAAAACACCTTTTTTGCCAAAGCTTATAACTTGAGCATGTAACATCAAAATTAGATGATACGAAAAGTGTTGATTAGAGAACATCTCAAGGTTTCTAAAAAGTCCAAGAACAACTCCAAAAGTTAAAAATTGAAGAAGTTATGCATTGTTGAAGTTGGGCATTTTTCCAAATTTGCCAAAAGTCAACTATCCTCAAAACTCCAATTTTTGACAAAAGGGCCCATTTTTTTCCACTTGATATAGTCTTGTCATGCCACACACGTGTTCCATCTTTAATTTCATGACTAAACATTTATTTTTCTATTTTATTTCATTTTTATTGATTTAATTCATTATTAATCAATATTAAATCAAATAAAATCTAAAAATTGATGTAAGGGGATTCTTGTGATCAATACAGCTTGCAAATATCATGTGCAACTCAATCAAACTCGTGCCAAGTCAAAACATGCACAAAATCTCAGATTTGATGCAAATATGGCAACTTGGTTATGGTGATCAAAATCCAATCTTCCATCTTCAATGTACTTGATTTCAGACCAAAAGACCAAACCTAATTCATTCTATAACACTCACACAAGTCACACAAACCCACAAACACAAAGAAAAGCAAACTTTTGAAAACATAATGAGCAAGTACCTAAGAGCGTGTGGATAACCACGGATAGAAAGGGTGCTAACACCTTCCCTTTCTATAATCTACCTCCTGAACCCGAGAAATATCTCAAAAAGGAATTTTTCTGTGCTTTTGTCCTTTCCTTGTTGGATAAAATAAAAGACGGTGGCGACTCTTTCTTACCGCGACATTTTGAGAAAACAAACGCAAACGCGAACCAGCATTCCAAAAAAGTCAGTTCTATTCCCACCGATCACTGACATCATTCAGCAGATTCTTGATTCTAGTCATGTGTTTAGAGCATCCACTGTCAAAGTACCAGTCATCCTTGGCAGAAACTCTAAGGGAGGTGTGAGCTATCAGGGTTGCAGTCTTTTTCTTCCACTGTTGAGTATATGGTGCCTTGTTAGTCTTAGGTTTGACATATGGGGTCTGATTAGGATATCCATATAATCTGAAGCAGAATGGCTTTATGTGACCAAACCTCCCACAATAATGATATCTCCATCTTTGATACTTTTTCTTCATGTTTATCTGTTCTTGATGTTGAGTCATATGTTGTGACATCTGCTTTGACATTTGTTTATCAGGCCTGGTCTTCTTCTTGTCAACAGCAGATTTCTTTGCAGCCACAAATCCTAGACCAGGCATGTTTCCTGCATTTTGTCCAACCTGAAGGATTTCTTCCAACTTGTTAGTTCTAGTTGTTAACATCTTGACAGACTTAGTCATCTGATCAAGTTTGGAGTTCAACATTAGAACTTCACCTTTGAGATGGCTTATAGTAGTAGTGTCTGCCTTCTTCTCAGCCTCCAACTTCACTATGAGCTTTTTCTGTTTCTCATTTTACTGACAGACTTCAGCACTTCTGATACATAGCTTCTTGTAGGAGTCAACAAGTTCTTCAAATGTCACTTCCTCATCACTAGAATCATTATCAGAGTTACAAACACCAGATAGTGCAGTAACTAGTTTAGAAGATTCTTTTTCAGAGTCACTTTCTGAGTCACCATCAGACCAAGTAACAGACATTCCTTTCTTTTGTTTCTTTAGAAAGGTAGGACATTCAGCTCGAATGTGCCCATATCCTTCACATCCATGGCATTGGATTCCTCTGCTTTGATTTCCCTTTTCTTCAGACTTAGTTCTTCTATTGGAGTCATAGGATCTGCTAATGTCAGAGGAAATGTTCTTAACATTTGACCTTGACTTTGGGTCCATTCTCTTGATGAGTTTGTTGAACTGCCTTCCAAGCATAGCTATAGCTTCTGATATATTCTCTTCATCACTCTCCTTGCTTTCATCTTCAGTATTGGATACAAGGGCTATGCTCTTGTTTTTCTTGTCAACATTGTCACTGATCCCCATATCAAATGTCTGAAGTGACCCAATGAGTTCATCAACCTTCAAGTTGCAGATATCCTGAGCTTCCTCTATAGCAGTCACTTTCATTGCAAACCTTTTAGGTAAGGATCTGAGAATCTTTCTCACCAGCTTTTCTTCTGACATCTTTTCTCCTAATGCTCCTGAGGTGTTGGAAATTTCCAAGATGTTCATGTGAAACTCATGAATGGTCTCATCTTCCTTCATCCTTAGATTCTCAAATTTGGTAGTGAGCATCTGAAGTCTTGACATTTTTACTTTGGATGTACCCTCATGGGTGGTTTTGAGAGTGTCCCAAACATCCTTGGCCAATTCACATTGATGTACTAGTCTGAATATGTTTCTATCAATTCCATTGAACAAGGCATTCAATGCTTTAGAGTTACCCAGGGCTAACTCTTCTTCTTCTTTGCTCCATTCTTCCTCAGGTTTCAGACTAGTCATCCCATCTTTCCCAGTTATGGTGGGATGGTTCCATCCTTTGTCAGCAGCTCTCCAAGCTTTATTGTCCAGTGACTTCAAGAAGGAAATCATACGAGGTTTTCAGTAGTCATAGTTTGATCCATCTAGAATAGGTGGTCTGTTCCCAAATCCTCCTTCCTTGTTCATAGCGCCAGAAAATAATATCCCTAGATTTCACCTAGAAAGACAGGCAGGGTGCCTGCTCTGATACCAATTGAAATTCTGGCAACAGATACTTAATGTCACAGTGAATGTTATGACACTGTATCTGAAAAATTGTACACAAACCAAACAATAATTTAAAAGACAGTAAAGAACACAATCAATTGTTAACCCAGTTCAGTGTATAACAACACCTACATCTGGGGGCTACCAAGCCAAGGAGGAAATTCACTATAAGAGGTATTAATTTAGGAATAAACCAACCAGTTTATCTCCTTCACTTAAAACCTACCCAATGCAACTTCAATCTAAGTCCTACTTAAACCTGAGTTCCTACTCACTCCCCCTCAATCACAGCAGTGATACTAATCTACTGATTAATAAGATTATGAAGACATTCTTCAATACACACGCTTGATTTTGCTTCAAAGCTTTAATCAAGAGACACAACACTCGTGCTTCAAAGCTTTGAGTGATAAACAAACCTTACAACCAAATCCTACTCCAAGTCACTTATCAAGTGATAATTGCTTGGCTCACAGTAATTAATAAAACTATCTACAAATTTCCTTATTGATCTTCTCTAAAAAGCACTGCACACCATTAGGATTCGTGAGAAATATATATGCAGTCTATTCTTCATTTTGGGCTTCCATAAAAATAGCTAGGGTTAACCAAAGTTAACCTAAAGACTTGGTCTTGGGCTTTCATCATAACAGATTATGGTTAAGCAAGGTTAACCTAATATCCATGTGAGCATCTGATCTAGTCAATATACTTCAACTCCGAATAGCACACCAGATTCCTGAAAATTCTCAGGAACAATAAATCTGCACAATAACTTGATCAGTACAGGATGTCTTAACATTGGTTATGACATCATGTATCCTGCTCACTGATTTTGGTAGAATTCAGTACATATGATCATAGCTTAATCATCATGATACTCACTCATATTGAGTTGTTCCTGTAGAACATTCCTTCTGCAGAATTTGTCTTTATCCCAGAATGTTATGACATCAGTCATGACATTCGCAAATCTGGTTTTACCAAAAATTAATGCCAACAAGCAAACACTTACACAACATTCTACATATTTTATATCATTAAAATCTAACTAAAAAGAGATTAGAAAAATAATGAGAGAAAAACAATTAGCTGGGGTGAGTCTCGAAACCAGGTGTTGATTCAATAAGCCTATGCTAAGCCCAATAGAAAAATGTCCAAATTGCTATTTTTTGTTTCATGCTTCCAATATTTCTGCAAAAATGGCCATAGGCCTCTCCAATAGGCTAATCCAATCCAACAAACAATATTCACATCAGCATTTTCTTATATGTATCATCCTTAGCATCATCTTTGTCTAATTATCAACAATTAAAAGGAAAAATGAAATAAATTGAATATTTAATAAAACAGCACATCAACCAAAAAGGATAGGGTTAAACTTTAGGGAGACTCTGCAACTTCCACGAGCAAACTTCCATCTTCTCTCTCACATGAAAAATGGCACCGTTAATCTTTCTTCTTCAACGCGACTTCAACATCGTTAATGCCACGAGCGATATCATCACCGCCCTCGCTCGTCACCTCTTGGCTTGAAACTCTGAATTGAAATCCCTAACAAAGTACAATTTGTGCGTTTGGGTTGGGGAAAGGCTCGTCGGGAAATGGTGAATCGGACTCCTTTCGAATCAGTGACTGGTTTTACTAAAGATGAAGATGACCGCGTCGAGAGAAACCACGGCTATTAGGTACAAATTTTTCCCTTAACCTTGCGTTCTCAATCTCACCTTCTTCTACTCCTTCTTTGTGTTTTTTTCTATTTGTTGTATTGATACTCTTGGTTGTTGAAACAAGTTAATGAAGCAGTAGAATGAAGGAAGCAAGTTGGTTGCGGATTGTTAAAGAATCGTTGTTGATGAGGATGATGAAGGTTCATTGAAGAAATTGAAGGTGACGATACAGTACGGTTATGGAGAGAGAGTTTCTGAGATCTTGCAAAATGAATGGTGGTGGATTTTTCTGTGACTTTTCCTCTGGGTGTGATTTGAATCTCTCCTCTCTGAGTTCCTTTTGAGTATTGTTGTGTAATTTGTGTGAGTGTTTGGTGTAAATCGTTGCGTTTTGGGAGTGGTTTTCATGTGTGATCTAAGCAGAGGTTATGAGAAGTTTGGATTGAGGGTGAGTATGGAGATTGAGCTCAACGGGATTGAAGAGAGATTGCAAGGAAATAAGCTGAGGGAGTATGATGGTTCCATGAGTGATTTTTTGCAGGGACTGTTATGAGTGAATTGAGTGGTTATTGATAGGGGTGGACAGCTTTTGATAAAATCGTGAATATCCAACCGATCCACCATAACCGTTTACATGCGGTCGGTTTTAAAATGGGTGTCGGATTAACATGTTGATTTAAACCGGTTTCTAATGATTTATACCGGTTTGGTTCGGTTGAGACAATCTAACCCAAAATTAACCGAATCCGACCGCTATAATATATGGACTGGTTTGAACTTTTTGTAAAGCCCATTAAACATATCCTTCATGTACTATATCTTAACGGTATATAAATTAAAAACTCTAGCCGTCTGATACCCTTCATTGTTTACTTCATCTTCTCCACAGTTTATCCTTCTTCTCTATTTCAAATATCTTTCATTGGTAATTTCATCTTCTCCACCATTTATCCTTCTTCTCTATTTCAAATAGAACATAATGATTCTGAGATTCTTTGTATCCATGGATGCTGACTTAATATCCACTATTTCAAAGAACACCGCCACTATATTTAGCTTACATATTCTCTTCTTTACCTCACCTCAAACTTACTGTGTTTGATTTGTTGTTTACCCAATTTATTTGACAAAACATTTATCAAATCTTTGCAAAGCAGATAATGTAAAAATTTCCAGATTTTTTTCCAAATCTCCTTGCAATTTTGTAGCAGTGAAAATAATTTTGCGATAATTCTCAAATGTTTTCCCGGATCTATCTTTAAAAACTCTAATAAAACATTGATAGCTTATGTTTTAAAGAACATTTAGTTTTTAATTTTTAATCGCAGCTTTTTAAATGGAGTACCGATTAAACCGAACCGACAACTGTTCAATCCGACAAACCGTAAATCGACGAAACCGAAGATTTAAATGGTCGAAATTGGATGTTCATTATGGACCCGCGGTTTAGGTCTGATTGGATTTTTGGATCCGAATCCAATCCAATCCGACCGTTGTCCAGCCCTGGTTATTGAGAGCCGAGTATTTTGCAAGTTTTTTCAGGTGATTTCCCTGCCTCCTTTATGAGCTAATGATTAGGTGTTTTTATAGCATAATAGGAGTGAGGGTAAAAGAGTATTTGTGAGAGTGATTTGGATAAGGATTAGAGATAAAATTTGTTAAGAGTGGATAAGAATGGAGAGAGGAAAAGAATCGTGGATGGCAAGTTTGTGTGAGATGTAAAATATGTTTTCCTAATTTTCTATTGTATTGTTATTTCTTCTTTTTTTTCTGATTTTTTCTGATTATTATTTTTGCTTCTCATATTCTCTTGTATGTTGTCACAGTTTCCCCCCTTATTTCTCTCTATTTTTCTGTTATGCTGAGCTGGAATTCAAATGAATTTATTCTGATTTTTTTTTCTGGTTTTTATGTTTGTATTGGACTGCCTTGTTAGATTGGGCTTGGTATGTAGTGCTTGTTAGTGCAAGGTGATGAAATTGAGGAAGAAGAGAGAAAAGGAATAAATGCTAAAAGCTGTCACAAATGATCGAAGAGAATTGATTGTATTAAATGTAAACCTAGTACACCTATTTATACACAAAAGTAGTAAAGATAAGAATGTCACATAGGGCCTAAAGAGAATATCCAATAAAAGGCAAATAATAAATTACCCTTTAATAGTGCTGAGTTTATAATTGTGGAATGAATTCCATTTGCATGGCTGCAACTCTGTTTGGGTTGGAACTTGGGCAGATAAGGTTTCTTGGTCATTTGGATAGCAGCTTGGAGTATGGAAAATGGTGATTGAAGCATGAAGAATAATTGAAATTTAGGATAGGTTTAGGTTAAGGAAAATGGAACTTAGTGTAGGAAATAACTTTGTATTCCTTTTGTGTAATTTTGTTGAATGATATAATGGAAGATGGTGTAATGGGTTGTGATTTGGTATTTGAATTTTGTAACAGAACTTGAAATTGGATGGTGTTTGGAACTTTGAACTTTGATGGATAATTTGAATGAAAATTTTGGACAAAACTGGGATGTAATTGATTGAATAACAAACTCGAATCGCTTGAACTTTGGATGATGTGTGAGCGATGTTGAATTATGGATGAGTTTGTTTAAAAGCAATAGAGAAAATGATCCTGATATAATAAAGTACTTGAACAGTTTTGAAACAAAGTTCAATGACACGTTTGAATGTATCATGAAATTGGCCATTTGAAGCGGTCTGTAATCTTATTTCACTTTGTGAATTTGAATGAAGTAATAGCATAAGATGATGAAACTTGACCAATACACTTTGATGACTATGACACTTGATACTTTGGTCTTGTGGATGAAATTGAATAATTATTAATGATACTCGAAATCGAATTTTGAATTTTGAATTTATAACTTGTCTTCAAAAGATCCTCACGAACAAACATATATAATCTTTGAGCAAAATTCAAACTCATGGCATCAAATAATCCCTTGAATAAACACTTCCACAATTATGAATCCATATAGATTCATCTCTTCAACCCACACCAAACTTGCTTTACAAGTAACAACCCATAAGAGAATAAAAAATGATTTAAACCCAGTGAATCCATAACATCATCCTTGTAACCTTGAATCAATAGCCTAAATGATGTGAGAACCAAAGATTTTAAAATGGCATTTGATTTCTAACCTTTATTCTTGTATAAGATCTAAAGTCAAAACCCAAGAAAATGAACTATGAACTACTATGAACTGAAGACTTGCACCTTCCAATGATGGATAACATTTAGGATGAGAAAAATTCAAGTAAAATCCTGATGAGGATAACTTGTACCACAAATAAACCAACTGATTAAACGAAGATCTTTGCATCTTAATGCACACTCTTAAGAAAAAAACCACTTGACTATAATTATAAGAACACCTCAGATGAAAACCAAATCAAGCTCAAACATAAAGGATTAGAGACCCTAATTCCTCCATTCTTAATGATCATTGCTGGAGAACAGTCTTGTATTTTGAGGAGGGAGGAAGTTCAGTGTAACCACTCTTCATAACCCTAATGCCACAACTTCACCACTTGAGGAAGAACTTGAAGAATCAACCTTATTGAATATATACACCTCAAAATAACAGAAAACCATAATATTGCACAATCAACTGAACTCTTGAACCACTGTACTTTATTGAATGAAATGACATGTTATGCTAATGACCTAATGAAAATATGAAAATGAAATGCAGTACGCTAAAAGAAAATATATAAGGATAGGACAAATTTGGGGTATGACAATTACGAACTTTAGGACCTATCCAAGCTAACTTTTCCCTCCCTTCAATAACTTTTACACACCAAGAACATTCTATTACCCTAAAAAGGGACCCCCTCCTCCCATCCAACTCATACAACATTTCACCAAACGTGCCACCTAATCCATACCAATTCCATCTCATCCTTACATTTAATGATCATGCAATTAGTAGATTTTCTCTCAACCCCAATTGAACCAACCCCTTCCCCACTTGAAGTCTTACCTTCTAACATTCAACCTGATATTTCTGACCTTATAAATTTTTACCAACCCATTTTTCAATCACCAAGTGACCTTCCCCCTCTTAGACTTCATGACCATCATATAAACCTTTTGCCTAACACTCCACCTATCAATGTGAAGCCTTATCGTTATCCATACTCACAAAAAAGATGTTATGACCTCAATCATTCAAGAAATCACTATTACAAAATGCATAAATAATAATGCCTAATACACCACGGTTCTACCCAACACCGTGGTGACATCTCTAAACTAAGACACTAACATTTTTTATTAAAAATTGTTAGGTAATAATAACGGTTGTTGAGATAACTGTGGTTATACAATCAAGCTTTCATGGGTTTGAAACTCAGCTCCATCAAATAATTTATTCATTTAACATTAAGATGCGCCTTTTCTTTTTATTTATTTTTAAATGAAAAATAGAAGGGATGTCACTACAGTTATTTTGTTAAAGCATTGTGACACACACACACACACACACACACACACACACACACACACACACACACACACATATATATATATATATATATATATATATATATATATATATATATATATATATATATATATATATATATATATATATATATATATATATATATATATATATATATATATATATATATATATATATATATATATATATATATATATATATATATATATATCACCACGATTGGTAACTTTAACCATTGTGCAATTGCTTACCCATATATAAGTGAATCAAGTCTCGCTTCTTGACAGTATCACCGTATCTTTCACAGTAAACCCATATAACCCATTTTTTCTCTTCTTCTTCTTCATTAGATTTCTTATTATACAGTATAGTCATCAATCGTGTTCTTCATACATAAAGATATTCTTCTTCTTTCTTAATCTCTTGTTTTTGTGTATGTTGTTGTTATGTTTCACATCATTTTCATATGATTTTCTTCTTGTTAGATAGTTTATAGTTTTTTTTTTATTGTTGTATGTTGTTGTTGATAAATATAGATAAATATTTGTTGACATGAATCAACTTCTGTAAGTCCATCATCTTCTATAAGTACAACTTAACCTCTAAGCACTCTGAGCGGGCTTGACATGCGCACCCCTAAATCAAACCTGCTCTTTTCAGCTTTTCAAACACCTCTCCCATGCGAATTTTAATATTATTTACTTCGTGTATGTTGTTGTTATGTTGATGTTATTGTTATGTATGTTGATAAATTTTGTTGGATTATAATATCATGCTAGTTTATGTTAACATGTTATTTTTTTCCATCGTGATTGTAGGATTCAAATTCTCATAGTATGGTTGTGGTTCACATGATGGTTTGTGGTTCACATAGTATGATAAAAAAATACAAGGAGGGTGAATTAAAGGTATTTATATTGTTGATAAATGTTGTTTATGTTCTTGTTGTTGTTGATGTTGTTTTGTGTGTTTTTGTTAATAAATAGTTTTTCATGTGCAACTAGCAAGTAGTTATGGTTCTTTACTTATCACTTAAAGCTTCAAGAAATGGTTAGTTATTCAGTTCTCCCAATCTATGTAAATTAATTTGATGTTTTTGTTGATAAATATTGTTACTGAATTTGTTATATCATATGTGATAGCTTGTTTCACTAACCTATCATTGAACTTGAATTCATTTAAAAATATTCTTTAAGATAATAATTAAAAATATATATTCTTGAAAATCAACTTAGACGATCCAATGTTTTTTTAATTGCATGCATGTTGAAAATAATAATTTTCTCTTTAGGGTATAGAATTTCATTCAATGTTACAAATTCTTCAAAACAATGTTGATAAATGGGTGTCAGTCTGGATCTTTCACACAAATCTTGATGTTTGAAAAATAAAGTAGAAAAGAATAGGAAATCAAATTTTATGTGAAAGACTCAGACTGACATCTATTTATCAAAATTACTTTGAAGAATTTGGAATTGAATCAAATCCTATATGCTAAAGAGGAAATCATTACTTACAGGAGGCTTGCAATTCAATAAATATTGGATCTTTTAAGTTGTTTTTCAAGAATAACTTAATTTTTATGATTATCATATCAAAAATCTAAGTTAATGGTTGTATATGGTTAATGAGGGGCAGGGAAAAATAATCATTCCCATATTTTATAATAAACTCTTACATATATCACAATAGTTGGAACTTATAACTGTGGTAAAATGCTATTTTTTATGCACTTTAATTTTGGTTGTAGCTAGGTATTGAACCCATGCCACTATATTTATGACAATGGTTGTTTACATCAACTATTGTGATAGATAATTTACTGTAATGGTCACCAGACCGTGATTGTAAGTGACGCATATACAACCACACGTTACATAACAACGTCTGGTCCCGTGTAATAATTTATCTTTTCCAACCGTTGTTGAATGTCTTTTCTGTAGTAGTGAGTGTTGCGGGACGACACTTTCATCCATCGTAATAGCCCTTTTTCCTCACCAATTTTACTAGTTAAAAATAAGGATGGTACCTGGCATTTTTGTGTTGATTACAGGGCACTTAACGCAATTACAATTAAAGACAAATTTCCCATACCCACAATAGAAAAATTACTAGATGAGCTAGGCTCAGCAACCATTTTCACCAAGATAGACTTAAGCTCTAGCTATCACCAAATCCATATCGCATCAAAAGATACGCATAAGACAACTTTTCACACTTTCAATGGGCATTATGAGTTTCTTGTTATTCCCGTAGGATTAACAAATGCATCATCCATTTTCCAATCTGCTATGAATGATTTATTGCAACCTTATTTACAACGGTTTGTGCTAGTCTTTTTTGACGACATACTAATTTACAACACTAATTTTCATGATCACCTAATTCATTTGAATGTTGTGTTTGAGTTATTACAATCCCACTCTTTTTTTGTAAAGTTGTCCAAGTGTGTTTTTGCAGTTGATAAAATTGACTATTTAGGCCATGTGATTTCAGTGGGTGGTGTTGCACCCAATCCAGATAAAGTAAAAGCAATTTTGGATTGGCATCCCCCTCGTTCACTCAAATCTCTCTGTAGTTTTTTGGGACTCACCAGATTTTAACGATGTTTTGTTTGTAATTATGCCAATCTCGTCGCTCCTCTCACATATTTGTTGTGTTCCACTAAATGCAAATGGAGTATAAAGTATGAGTCCGCTTTGAAGAGTTAAAGAAGAAAATGACAGACATGCTGGTCCTGGCTTTACTAGATTTTACAAAGATTTTTATTATCGAAACAAATGCGTGTGGAGTGGCCATTGGTACAATCTTGTCTCAGGATGGTCATCTGATTTCCTTATTCAGCAAGAAGATGTGCCCAAGAATGCAAGCAACTTCTGTTTACGTTGTGAGATGTTTGCTGTCATAAAAGCTGTCAAAAAATGGCGTCAGTGGCTCATTGGTAAAAAATTCCAAAATTTACACAAATCAAAAGAGTCTCAGAAATTTGCTAATGCAGAAAATCCAAACTCCAGAACAACAAAAATGGGAATCTAAGTTACAAGCATTTAATTTTGAGATTTCTTATAAACTTGGAAAATAAATTTTAATACATGATGCGTTATGTTGGAAGTTTTGCTCTAATGAACCTATGCTTCTATCCTTGTCCTCTCCCATCCCAGATCTCTTAACAACTCTCCACAAGATCTATGCATATACCAATGTAGGACAACAGTTAGTAAAGCAAACTGAGCAGAATACTAGTGACAACAACTTGTACAAGTTTTCAAATGGACTGCTATATTACAAGGACAAATTTTTTATACCTGACATTTCACAGCTTTGCAGCAGTATTCTCCATGAGTACCATCACACCCAAATAACAGGATATTTAGGTGTTAAAGCCACTTTGGCACACCTATCTTCTTCTTTCAGTTGGCCCGGAGTTCACCTTGAAGTCAAAAAAATGGTTAAGCAATGTGCCATTTGCCAGCAAAATAGATATCAAACTCAGAAGAAGAAGGGACTTTTATAACCTTTACTTATTCCTAACAAGGTTTGGGATGAACTTACCATGATCACTCATTTTCCCAACTCGTTTGGACACACTATTATTTGGGTCATCAGTGATCACTTGACCAATTTTATGCATTTGCTTTACCAACAAAATTTTCAGACAAAGATATTGTATCTTGTTTCGCTGTTAAAATCTTTCGCCTTCATGGTTTTCTAAAATCCATAGTCTCTGACTACGACCCCTTGTTTCTCAGTACCTTCTGGAAGGAATTCTTTAAGATCCAAGGCACTACACTTAAATACAATATAACTTATCATCCTGAAACAAATGGACAAACTGAAGTAGTAAATCGATCTGTGGAAACATACCTTAGATGTTTAGCTAGCGACCATCCTCGTCAAAGGTATAAATTTTTGCACCTCACTGAGTTTTGGTATAACACCTCCTTCCATACAACCAACCAAATGACCCCTTTTAAAGCATTGTAGGGTCGCGACCCTCTGAATATTCTAGACTATTTGGCTGGAACAACGCTTGCAATTTCTTTAGACTTCTCTTTATAACAACGCCCGAAAATTATCATACAGTTAAAAGTCAACCTAAAAAAGATCTGCATACAGATGGAAAAACAAGATAACAAAACACGTATGGATTTTACCTTCAGTAAGGGCGGTCTTGTTTTGCTGAAGCTTAAACCATACCTCCAAACTAGCGTCAGTCGACGAGTCTCCTAGAAGTAGTCAAAATTCTTTTTCAGACCCTTCAAAGTCATCAAACGTGTTGGAGTCGTCGCCTACATGCTACCATATTCTTCGAGGATGCATCCAGTTGTCCATGTTTCCCTTTTGAAATCATATCATGGTACAAACCCAAGTGCAAATTTTCGTTCTCTTCCTCCAAATAACAACTTACACTTCAGTGACGTGGAGGATATTCTGAACAACACCATGTTTCAACCCATAACTGAACCAAGTAAAGATGTGGGTCTTAAATCTCTTATTGACAGAGACGAAGAAAGAAAAAAACAGTTGAGTTTAAAGGAAGTGTTAGACAAAAATGTGGAACTAAGGACTTAGAGAGTGTAAGTCAAGTGCATACAAGTACGGAACTTCCAAATGGAAAACTGAAAGGACATCCACAACATAAAAAGGTTCACTTCCCAAATACAGCAGGTTCACGTGACCCAGGGGGCCCCACACAGACATCTTATCATCCTTTCCCTAACTGATATTTTTCCCGTCCATCTCAATTTTATCCAAATCCCCTTTACACACAACCTCACCCACGATTTCACACCTCAACATTGGATATCATTTCCCACACTCCTCATGTGGCTCGAGGCAAGCAGGCCCCCACTACTATTTTCCCCACTTCCCCACATGCAATCTGTCAAGATTCTCATTCAGCTGTATCCCCTACTCCACCATACAATCTGATTCCACCTTATTTTTTTGACCCTTACTGTGACCCACTCAACTAGTACCACGTCCCCACCCCTGCCAATCCCTTTTTCCATTTATCCTCAGCCCATTAATAATCCACTTGCCTCTCCGCCCAAGATCGGCCCATTTACAATTTCATCATTATATTAGAATTTTGGTTGTTGGTCTTATTTCTATGAGGCCCATGACCCAACTTAGTATTTAAAAACTCTCTCTCTATCTATATATATATATATATATATATATATATATATATATATATATATATATATATATATATATATATATATATATATATATATATATATATATATTATGAAAATATTATGAAAAAAGTTGTTTTATCATTTTTATGTTATATGTAACATAGATCTAGATTAGTTTAGTTTAGTCTATCATAATACTTTAAATATAATTAAGATAATAGTCAAACAATTATAAAAATATGACGGTAATGATTAACTTATAGTGTAAAACTTATTTATACGATCGATATATATAATTAAATCCAAGTTTTAGATCCTCTTAGAATTTCGAATTATCTCCTTCAAACACACTATAAATTTTTTCCAAATGTCAATCAATAGATCTATTGTTGCCAAATCACTATTAAATTTTATCTTATTTCAATTCATTTGTATTTAACCACCTGACCTTTTTAGAAGACTTATTTTTATATTCGAGTTTGATTTTTCTTAAAGAATTTGATATGATAAATTCGGCTACTTTAAAGCCAAAGGTGATTTCAAAATAACATAATTAAATAAATAATTTTATTTATACTTAAATATTCGAATATATTAGATTTGTTCATAAACTTTATGATTTCTATCGATATAAAAATCAAGAATAAAACTCTAAATAAAACCCTTAAATCCATATCCGAATACAATTATGAGAATGAAAGCAGAAACATACTTGGATTTGCCATTGAGAATCATTGAAGGTTTGCGGACATTTGATCTTCTGATTTATAGAGTTCCTTATGGCTCATTGATTCTCCTCTGGTGGAGATGAAGAGAGAAATATCGATAAACTGTTTTTTGTTGTCTACAAATAGGGACCATAACCCCTATAAATAATCTTAGAGTTATTTCTTAGTTTTCAATAATCTAATTTGGCCCCTCATCAAATTAGACATTGAATTATGGTATCTACACAATTACCTTTCATGATATTTATGCTTTTAGCCACAAACTTATTATTAATTAGACCACTATAACTTTAGCTAATTACATAATGGCCCTAACACATGCAATATTACTTTTGTGATGCAAAAATTCTAACAATCTCCCACTGGTCATATATGTAATCATGCACATGTGTTAGACTTTATGAGCTCAAAATTCGCTATTATATTCCTTAAGCATATCCAAATTATCTCGTCCATTAGTCATGCCAATATATAGAATCAAGTGATTTTCATTATATAAATCATAACTAAACCCATCAATGATCACCAATAGTGACATAACTAAATGACATAAATCCATCATGAAATGTGCAGCATGAAAATCACATGAAGTTGGTTTGCATTTGTCGATTTTCAATTGGTCCTACTTTACTTTAGTAAGATTATTCAATAACTTTATTGTACAAAATGTAAACTGCTGAATATCAAAATTTAAATAATTTAAAAAATATCCAAAATCATAGTATGCATACATAATACCAAAATATAAAACATAAATTTCTTAATCGATGAACTCCAACTAAACTAAAGACTCATCTAATGGTAAAACACCCATGTGAGCAATGTGCTCATGAAATACCTTGGGTGGAAGACCTTTTGTAAGAGGATCTACTATCATGGAGTTTGTCCTTAATTGTTCTATGAAAATCTGTCCACTTTGTACCATTTCTTTAACAACTAAGAACTTGATGTCAATATGCTTTGACTTGGTTGAGCTCCTATCATTGTTGGAATACAGGACGTCTGATTTATTGTCACAGTATAACTTAAGTGGCCTTTCTATTCCTTCCATAATTCATATTCCAGTGATAAGATTCCTCAGCCAAATCTCATGGTTAAATGCCTCATAACATGCTATAAACTATGTTGCCATTGTGGATGGAGTCGTAAGAGTTTACTTGGTACTGCACCAAGAAACTACACCACCAACCAATATGTAGATATATCCTAAAGTGGATCTTTTACTGTCTTGACATCCAACAAAATCTGAGTTAGAGTATTCAGTGATCTCAAACTGATCTGACCTCCTATATGTGAGCATATAGTCTTTTGTTCTCTTTAAATACCTTATAACTTTTTTGGCTGCTTTCTAATGATCCACTCCTGGATTGCTCAAATGTCTGCCTAGCATCCATCGAGGAATTTCATCTTGACATCCATTTGATGGAGTTCTAGGTCATAATGTGCAACAAGAGCCATGATTGTTCTAAAAGAGTCTTTCAATAAAACAGGAGAGAAAGTCTCTTTAAAGGAAACCACTTCTTTTTTAGTATAATCCTTAACCACAAGACGAACTTTATACCTCTCCACATTAGTGTTAGAATCCTGCTTGGTTTTAAAAATCTATGTGCAACCAAGGGGTTTCACACCTTCTGGCAATAGGACAAGTTCCTAGACTTTACTATCTTGCATGGACTTATACTTCTCCTTCATTACTTCAATCCACTTTTCCGAGTTGGAATCTTGTATGGCTTGACGGAAGTTGATTGGATCACCTTCCATCATACCATTTTTTTCCTCATGTTCCTGGAGAAAGACCATGTAATCATTCAGAATAGCATTTCTCCTTTTTCTAATGGATCTCCATAAAGGTATTGGTTCTTGTAACACCTGTTCTTGAGGATTTTGAGTTTGTTCTTCATAAATTACCAAATCATCTTGAGTAGGATGAAAATCAACAATATCTTATGGAGGTTCTATACTTGCTTGGTCAAAAGCAACTGTATGAATCAGTTTTGGAATTGTTACTGATTCTTCCTCTAAAACAAAGTCTCCAACCTTATTCTTCCCCCTAAACTCAATATCCTCAAAGAATTTGGTTGTTCCTGTCTCAAAAATTGAATTTAATTTGGAATCATACAATTTGTAGTCCCTAGATCTTCAGAATAACCAATAAAGTAGCTAGTTGGTCACTGTTCGGGAGTCCAATTTCTTTTCATTTGGCTTATAAGGCATTGCCTCAGCTGGACATCCCTACACTGAAACTGTTTTAAACTAGGCTTTCGCCCAGTCCAAAGCTCACAAGGTGTTGTGGCAGCTGCTTTTGTTGGTACTCTATTTAGAATGTAAGCTGCGGTCTTTAGTGTCTCTCTCCAGAGTGACTCTAGCAAGGTAAAATGACAAATCATACTTCCTATCATATCCTTGAGAGCCCGATTTCGTCTTTCCGCAACACCGTTCATGCTAGGCGATCCTAGCATGGTGTATTGTGGGACGATTCCAGATCTCTCTAGGTATTTGGAAAAAGACCCTGGACATTATTCACCTGACCCGTTATATCTGCTGTAATACTCACCGCCACAGTCAGATTTGACTTTCTTAATTCTTTTGTTGAGTTGATTCTCAACTTCGTCCTTAAATGATTTGAACACAACCAATGATTGAGGCTTTTCATGGATGCGAAATATGTATGCATGTCTAGAATAACCGTCTATGAATGATATAAAAATATTATTGACCATTCCAAGAAGATGTAGGAAATGGTCCGAAAATGTCCGTATGTATCAATTCTAAGACACCTGTAGCTCTATGTGCACCATATTTCTTTGTTTTGGTATGTTTACCTTAACGCGTTCAACAAAAACATCAAATTTTATGAAGTCAATAGAATCCAAAATTCCATCTGACACTAGTCGCTCAACTCTATTTTTAGAGATGTGACCTTGGCGTTTGTGGCATAATACTCATGAATTGTTATAATCAATTTTATGCTTAGTACCACGTGATTCCACATTCAAGGAATCACCATTGACAGTTATTGTGTCAAGAAAATATAGATTATCATGACCTATAAGCGAACCAGTTCCAACAATATGTGAATAGAAAGACAACTTGAACATATTGTTTCCAAATGAACAAGAATAACCTGATTTTTCCAAATAAGAAATCAAGATTAAATTTCGTCTAAATGACGGAACCACAAAAGTGTATTTCAAATCCAAATAAAACTGGTACACAGTAATAATCTAAAATTTCCTATAGCTTCCAGCCCCACCGACTTGCCATTTCCCACATAGACGTATCTTTCAACATCATTTGACTTTCAGTGGTTTAGGCAACCCTTCATTGAAATACTGATGTTAGTAGTTGCACCAGAGTCTAACCACCAAGTGTTTTGAGGTACTGAAGCCAAATTGACCTTAGAGTAGACCAAACCACGATTCATAGGATTTGTCCGAGTAAAGACCAAAATTATATTCAGATTAACAGATATTGAAGCAATTGTAGCTGAAAAGCAAGAACAAAATTAAATAATTTAAATATACTCACATAAAAGAAAACTTAATTATCAATTTGTTCAAATAATGATGTAACCCATCTCATGTGATATATAAAGAAAAGAAAATTAATAATAATGAAATACTCAATGCTAAAATACTACTTATAATTATTTAGGGTGTGTTTGGATTGGAGATGTAAAAAATTGATTCTAATAGAATTG